TGAACACAACATCCTTTTTTCAAAGCTTTCAAGTTTTGGTATTTCTGGACATTTACTTTCATGGATAAAATCTAAAATCTTACCTTACTAACAGAATGCAACAAGTCAAAATCGATGGCTATCTTTCTTCTCTTTTCCATGCATCCTCTGGGGTACCCCAAGGTTCTCACTTGGGCCCCCTTCTATTCAGCATATTTATCAACGATTTAGGATCGTTGCTCTCCTTAAATTTTTTACTTTTTGCTGATGACTTGAAGTTGTATCGTCAGGTGACGTCAGCTCAAGACATACTTATTTTGCAAAATGATCTTAATTAACATCGTTTATGATTGGTGTCAGCTTAATGACATGTCCCTCAACATCAATGTGTTGTATAAGATTCAGTAGACACACCCATAGTGTTCCCTTGCAGTATTACTTGAACAATGTTCGCTTGTCTGAAGTTTCTATCATTAATCTTGGTGTCTATCTAGATAGGTACTAGGCTAATGTTCACTGAGCATTTTAAAGTGGTAATTGGCAGGGCTAATAAAATGTTGGGTTTTATTAAGAGAGCTACTAGGGACTTTACAACTTCAAACTCTGTACGTAAATAAATAAATAAATTAAGACACACTGCTGAAAAGTGAATAATACTTTGAAAACTCATATTTCAGGATTTTGGATTAAATTGCTGATCTCTTTCAGACTCTTTTGATTTATAGTCTGCAGAATTTTGATGATCACAAAGAGAACTCAAAAATCACAAGAGACTCCAGAGGTTATTATGACTCAAGACTATAGAAAGATTCTTGAGACCCAACTCAAAGCTTTAAGAATTATGATGACTTTGTTTGAGGACTCACTTTTCAAAATGAAGACTGCTCACTTATGATCAGATTATACAGATCTTTATAATGTTAATACTCACTTCAAAAGCTAAAAGCTAAAATAGACTACGGATTATAATCACATCAATCTGTTTCTACTAGGTATTTGTCTCCTATTAATTTTTACATATTACTGTCTCAAATTTCTTTAATTTAAAAAAAAGAGAATAAAAAATACAATGAGTGATGAAATAGTTATACTAAACGAATTAGAAAACGATGAAGTTGATCTTGATTTAATTAGGGAGAAACGTTACGATGTCAATGAGTTAAAAACACAAATGCAGGGTTTCTCTTCGAAAAATAAATTGCTGAACATTGTTCATTTGAATATTAGAAGCATTAGGAAGAATTTTGACAATCTTTTAACTTTTATAGAAACATTTAGCTTAGATAAACTAGATATCATTGTGTTAAGTGAAACACGACATATACAAGAAATAAAAAATTTTAGTATTCCAGGTTTTGTAGCTAACTATAATAATAGTTCAATTAACATCTGCGATGGATTGATAGTATATATAAAGGATAGCATTCAGTTTGAAATAGAGCACACAACCCTCGCAACCTCCAAAGTTACGATCACGAAGCTCACCTTTGCAGCGAACAATGAGCATTGTTCGCTGATGGCCTGTTATAGGTCTCCAAGCACATCAGATCATTTGTTCGTAAACGATCTTGACGCCTACCTGAATGAAATTCCTAAAACAGAGGGTATCAGTATTTTAGTAGGCGATATGAACCTTGATATTTTAAATAAAGCCAATATTATGAGTGTCAGATATGTTAGCATGCTTCTCTTTTATGGTTTTACATCAGTTATTAATTCATACACCAGAGTAACACCAGATAGTAGATCGTGCATTGATCACATGTTTGTACGTAAAACCGGCCTGCTGGAAGATATTGAATATAATCCTTGTGTCTTGGAGACTTATTTCACGGACCATTACCCTATATATCTGGGCATTTATTCCACCCAAAATCTTAACCCAAATAGTACGGAGCAAAACGAAGTACATTACACAATTTTCGAAAAAGAAAAATTTATAGAAATAATTAAAAATCAAACTTGGCAGGATGTATATCAAATCAGAGATGCAAGCCTAGCTTACCAAAAATTTATTGACATTCTAACCTCCACAAAAAATAAATGCACCTTGCACAAAAGTTACATAAAAAAATATAAAAAAATTAAGCCTTGGATTACAAATGGCCTGATTAGTTCAATCAGGACCAGGGACCAAATGAAAAGGAAATTACTGAAGCAAAAAAATAATAATACACTGAGAATTGAATATAAAGCCTTTAGAAATTATTTACAAAAATTAATTACTGCTTCTAAAAACAACTACTACACAAATAAATTACAAGACTCTAAAAAGGACATTAAAAAAATATATAAAATTTTAGCAGACGCATCAAATGAACCTAAGCTTAAGTCTAACCAAGATATACTTATCAAGGACTTGAATAACAAGGATTTTGCTGATGACAAAGCAATGGCCGACTACTGTAATCGGTATTTTTCTGAAATAGGCATAAGTATGGCAAGCAAAATTCCAAATAATACAGCAATCTTAAACGAAAAATATCCTACCTTTCTAAATTCTATGGCCTTAAGCCCTATTACAAAAAATGAATTAATAATACACATTGGCTCTCTAAAGAGTAGCAGTGCTCCAGGGAGAGATGGAATAACTTCCAAAATGGTGAAACTGTGTCATCAGTATATTGCTGATCCACTTGTATATATTCTTAATCTTATTTTTGCTACCAATGAAATACCTGAAGACCTTAAAACATCTATCATTACCCCAATTTTTAAGAAAGGATCTAAGACTGACATATCTAATTATAGACCCATTAGCTTAATAAACACCTTTGGCAAACTATTTGAAAAGTGTTTGAAAGAGAGGTTATATGGTTACTTAATCAAGAATAAAATACTCAGTCATAAACAATTTGGTTTCCAGAAAAACATGAGCACAAATGATGCTTTATATAAACTTATTGAACATATTAAATATAGACTGGACCAGGGAAATAAATGCATTGGAGTCTTCATGGACCTTGCAAAGGCCTTTGACACTGTGCCCCATTCTGGATTGCTTGATATACTTGAGCGATATGGGATTCGGGGTACAGTGTTGGGTGTTGGAGCTTTTCAATAATTATCTTCAGGGTAGAAGGCAATCAGTGAAAATAAGAAATTCCATTAGTGAGCCCAGTACTGTGCAAATTGGAGTGCCCCAGGGTACAGTGCTTGGGCCCCTTCTTTTTATCTTATACATAAATTCACTTCTGTCTTTAGACATAAAAGGTTTAGCCCTATCATATGCAGATGACACGATTCTCATTTTTGAGGACGATACATGGAATTCAGTCAAAACAAAAGTGTCAGATGGCATGACTATTGTGAAGAGGTGGCTGGACAAACATAAATTGTCTTTGAATATTGCAAAAACTGTGTATGTGGCTTTTTCTCTGACAGATGCCAACAGACCGATCTTCAATGGAATAACCATTGATCATCAGTCAAATTTTACTATAAAAGAGGTCAAATGCACAAAACATCTTGGGATAATTGTAGATAAAAATCTGAAATGGACCCCACACATACAAAATTTAACAAATAAAATCAAAAGTTTGATACACAAATTTTATCTAATAAGAAATATCTTGAGTAAAGAATCTTTAATAATTATATATCAATCCCTTGTCGAATCTTTATTGTGTTATGGAATAGTGGTCTGGGGTGGACTCTACAATAACGCACTAGAAACTCTGAACACCATACAGAATTATATTCTGAAAATCATATTTAAAAAGGACAGGTTATTTCCCACCTCACTCCTATATAATAACAAAATTCTTAATGTCAGATCTTTGTACTTTCATGCTAGTTGTGTGTTCTGTTTTAAACTGAAGGAAAAGGGTTATGTGGATCACCAATATAAAACTAGGCAGATGATTAACAGACACCTTACTGTCCCATTTCGTAAGTTTGATAGAAATCAAAGATGTAACTCTGTGTTAGGGCCAAAGATTTTCAATAGACTGCCTGGTTCCATTCGTGAGGCAAGGAATAGAAAAGCTTTCTCATTACATTGCAAACAATTCATTCATGAAAATTATGAAACTTTGAATGATCTTTTGTAGTTGAAAATGTGGTTGGGGCTGTTATTTGTTATCTTTTTTTGTTTGTTTATTTTTTTTTTCTTGTGATTATCTCAAAGTCGTAACCAATGTTACCAGGGTACCCTGGTGGATTTTGGTGATACACATACAGGTGCTCTGCACCTAGGTGTACTGTATTGTCAGATTGACAACTAGATTAAATTAAATGGAATTATTTACTATGTAATAGATTGTATTGAAATTTGTATTTAATAAAGATTTAAAGATTTAAAATCAGAATTTCAAAAGACTCTTGAATTACAACTAAAGGCGCTAATATGGCTTAAGAGATTCTGAAGACTTGTCATTGTTCAATCAAGTTTATTGAAAGAAGATCTGGCTGAAGGCCTCAGAAAATTTTAAAAAGCTGAGAAAGCTTTAATAAGGATTTAAAAACTTCCAATACTCAATGCCTTTTTAAAGCTCTGAAGATTGATAAGAATTGGAAATGTCGTAACGCCTATTTTGGCTGAAGTCTCTAAATATTCTAAAAACATTGAAACTGGAAACTTTGAATATTCCGATACCTTAAAAAAACTTCTTTAAGATCTCAGAATAACGCAAGACTAAAGCCTCTGGAACTTCTGAAGACGCCTAAGAAGGCTCCGGGTCTCAAAACTAATGAATAATGAATCAAGTAAGCTTAGTTCCAAATATTTGAAACTGGACTCATTTTTCAGGATTATAAACCCTGGTTGATAGAGGACCTAAGACTGAAGCCTTTGATGATTATAAGGATGCCAAGGATGACGCAAGTAACGTTCTTAAGTTAGTACAAAATTCTGTATGCTCCTATTAGGTCTCAATTAACATCAAGATAGAAAATAATAATCTGGGTTTGAGAAAGTTAAGGCAATAACGTAGATTAGGTATAATTTTAGAGAAGGCCTGATTGAAGCAAGAACCTAAATTATTGAATTTCAAATACCATACTAAACAACGCTGAATAGCTACTAGGGTACGAAATATTTATTAAATTTCTATTTTGCCTAATTTAATTGTAGTTAGAATCAACAAAACATAATGCACATAGTCATATTATGCAATCCTAAATCTACATTGCCAAATATAGGTAAATAAAAAAAATTGTTTCTATTTAATAGTTTCACGATTATGGTTATCGATTTCATTTCTATTTTCCGGCACGTCCATATCCATTGACTCGTCGGCGGGTCGTTGTTGGAAATAGGGATATTTCGATTTGGCCAACCACAGCTCCAATCTTAAACTGGGATCCAGCGACAACGGTAAAGGTTCCAGAGGTTCTTGGTTGCTTCTCTTTTTCAAGTAGTTGAAGCAACAGGTGCGAAAGTGCCGCGTTCCGCACGCTGACCGGCATTCAGATCCACAGGAATTGCAGGTTTCCGCCTCACCACATACAACACCTGGAATATGGGAATTTGTTCTAAACTTTTTTTTCAACATATTATGTAGCTATAATAATAGTGTATGAAATACCAACTGCTCTAGAGCCAGGAAGATAATTAATAATGAGAGTAAAAAGATCTCGTGTGTAGTGTTTTTCTACAGAACGATCAAAGATTTACAAAAGAAAATAATGTTCTACTGAATCGTGAAAACTCACCAGAGCATGTTTAGGATCGCGTTTCGGAGTTTCACAAAAAAAAAAAATTAAGAAAAAATATATGAGTTTCATGCGGGAGTTTATGAACAACTAATGTTATCTGAAATATGAAAATGTATTGAACAATTTTAATATTCATTTTTGCAGGAGATATTATCTGCCTTTCGCACCCTTTTTCTTTGCATTCGTTGCCTTTCTATCGTATCTTGAGCAAATTTAAAACACAATAATATGCTCAGAAACAAAAAGTTTTAAAAATCACTACAAATACAGCAAATATTTACCTACTTCAACAATAAATTTGAAAATGTGAGTAGATGTGATGTGTGACACTTTAGTAAAATATTGCAGTCTTACCCAAAATTATCACAGTCAGCACTAATAACTCTATGTTCATTTTTGTCACCAACATTTCTTCGGCCAATGTCAAAGATTCAATATCAAGTATCGGTATTGGCATCAGCATCGACCTTTTATATCAAGAGGTTTCCTTTGATATTCATGTTAAGATGCAGATTGCATAGCCTCAATGTATGGTTTGTTCCTTGAGACTTGTCCAGGCCTTACCCAATAGATTTCTCCTTATAATCACGGCAGCTTGAAAATATGTTGTTTATGATGAATAATGGACTGGTCTTATTGTTCGACTATATACAATGTGGACTAGTCTAATTGCTCAGGACTCTGGTGTGCAAAACTGAATAAGATACCTATATGATTTATAGGTTAGATGGTAGCTTTCTAGAGATCGAAGTAATTGCGTCTTCAATTTGACTTGCTGCATGGGTTAAGTCCAAACAGAAGATGGTACCGATGGTGAAGAACATCACGTAGAAATTAGATTGTGATAGTTCATATCCTCGTTTATATAATATATAACACCATTTGGTAGGCGGGAAGATGAATATTACATACATTGGCACCCACCGTTTTATACCTACTAATGGTTCATTTCGTTTATGATAATTGTTGTCGTGTAATTAGTTAATTTAAATTTGTGAAATTTCAAATATATTCCTAACTTCCCTAATCTATCTTGACGTGCCCCATATGCTCGATATAAAGTTCTTGGGGAAGACAGTAAATGTCATGTTTCTAAGCAACTTTCCACAGAATCTACTACCTGTATGATTTCCCATTTTCTATTGGTCGTTTTACCAAATCTTCTTCATCATTCATTGATAGTGACAACCCGTAGTGTGCAGTGGACCTGCTGAAAGGATTTGTGTATTTCTATCAAGTGGCCATTTATGTACTGGGACTTATGTATTGGTTCGAGTATTGGTCCTTCACTAGAAACAAATCTTCTACTGCAAGATTATCTTCATGAGTTTTCCAATTGCATTTCTGTTTAAAGCTGATCTAAGTAATCAGACTTCCTTTTTCGCCATACCATATTTGTTGATTTTATTAATTAATATTCAAAGTTCATTCAGATTAGAATTTATGTTCGTTTCTATTGGTCGTTTTATCAAGAAATGTCCCGATGATACTCAGAATGTAAATATTGTCTGGTATGGCTTGTCCCATATTTCAGCTATTGCACCCAAAATTATTGAATTATAAGTTTGCCTTTGTGTACCTATACATGTGCCCAGGCGACCCAATGATGGATCGAAGAGTTTAGTTAGGTATTTCAGACAAAATGATTTTTATGGTCAATTTTTTGTTTATTGAAATGTATGAATGAGGATGTATATATGTTTTTGGCTGTAGATTTTCTCTATGAAATCTCTCAGTCTATCGCAGTTGACTGACAGTTCTCATTGTAACTTTGAGCCAGTGTAGCTGGGAACGCTAGGACATAGTTTTGTTTGGTAAAGTTTCGTTTGGACTGTCATGTAGAAGTTTTTGAATGATGCGTTAAACACCATTTTCAGTTTTGTTGTGGTGTTTGATTATTTTATGTCTGGTTGGTCTGGTTAGTAGCCACCAACTATTGTTTCGTCATTTGGGAAGCCGGAACGACAATCATATGGTTTAGCATTAAAAATGCTACGTTTTGAACTTCGCACATAATACCTGTTCTCTTGCAAATCGTAATAATGTATGGGTTGCCTTTTTTCATGAACTTAACGATGATCTGATGCAAAGTGATGTTATTGGAGTCGTTTCCAAAAACTATCAACCTGGTAGAGTGAAAATTTGAATAAAATTATAAGGGAAAAATAATTTTTACAAGAAATGTTCTAAATTTTGTTGGAACAGGCCGAGTTATCAATATCTCCGAATAAATAATCACAAATTATGAAATATTTTCATAATGACTTAATCCTTTTCGAATAATTCATCGAAGCACTTTCAGAAAAAGCTCCATCCAAAGTTAAATTACTTTAAAAATTGATTTAGTTCAATTTCAACGCGTTGGAGAAAATAAATATTCAACACCCTACACTAATTTGCATGTCGGCTTCGGTTAAAATATCAAATTGATAATGTATTTTTTAATTTTGAGAATCGGGAAATATGTGGTAGAGATTGTTCCCTTCGATGGGATATGATAATCGATTTTAATTTCCTGGACAAAGTAGGTATGATCTTGAATACCCATTCTGCAGTATTTAATATTTGGGCGTTTTTATGTGACTCGACCACTATGCAAATTTTATTTTTTTTAGTCTCTCTTGATTTGTTTTGATCTATAAATTTGATTATTTTGTTTGTATTAGTTAAATCTTCTTATATTTTGGTTACCTTCAACATGCATGATATTGCACCGAACGCTAATTCACTTTATCTTATTGGTAACCGCGCCGGCTATATCTTTTTCCTAGTTGTATTTCTTGTCTTTTATATTCTATATTAACCGCAACTTCTTTTTCATGACTTGGTCTCTATTCTTTCATTTTCACAATAAAACTCATTCTCATTGAAAAACACATATTTTGCTATTACATATTATTTTCTGCTCTTCATGCAGTATCGCATGATCTGTACCTACCATATCAGTGTATATCCAAGCATCGCGCTATGCTATGCCCTCTAAATCCGAATACCTACTTCCAAATTGCAAATGTCTGGTATCTTCGATCCCATTCCATGTTTCTGATATTATAACTTGTGTAATATTACTTGGACTTCACTCCAAAATTCCTTCGGCTTTTGAACATTTTTTGCAAACACTCAGCTCAAAAGATTTTCTCTTTTTTTATTTGTGAGTACTGAATAGCCTGATACCAAAATCTCCTGCTTGGTAAATCATTACCAAACCATTTTTGGACCTGGAGATGGACTCTATAAATTAATGCTGTTGCGAGGTACTGACTGATGAGATTTGATAACTGTACCTGCGGCTTCATTCCCAGACAGCACAGAGACATCTTAACGACGTCCTTAAGTTGTCCACAAACGACATTCAAGATGACTTTTAGACGTCTGCTTACGTCTTTTTTCTGGTTGACTTCGAAGTTGAATTATACCTATGTTCGTCATTCGAGTGTTTATTGATATGAGTTAACGAATTACATATTGTTATCAAATCCTGGAAGTTCTCGAGATTTTGAAGCTACTTTTTTTTCAATCTAAAACTCGTGTAGATCTAATCTAGGTAATAGTGTATGTTAATGTGCATTAACAATAAGCAGTATTACATTAGCTATGAAATAATTTACTTCATAAGTTATAGAAAATATAGGTATATTGTCAACTACTTAAGTGAATACCACTCTGTACATCAATTTTATTAAAATGTGTTGACGAGTCAGCATTAATTTGGTATAAATACCGCGCCGACATCCATTACCAGTAGACTAAGGCTAGTGCAAAGTACCTCAATTGGGAAAAGCTCCTCTAGCTAAGTCTCCTCCCAGGGCAAACTACCTTTATTAGGACACGACCTTCTGGACCTGTCTCAAACTCAGCTTCAGTCTTTAGTCTGTTACGTGTCGAATTTTCAGTCAATCAAGTTACAACATATTTTTGCTGCCTTTGGTCTTTTACTACTCTGTCATTGCCTGATTTTGCCTAACACTGAAAAAAAGGAACTACTAGTATAAAATCTTTAATATATATTTCACATAACAGTTACAATAATTATTCTCCACAGCCTCTAGCGATCTCTGAAAATAAGATTGATTTGAGATAGGATATGATCGTATATAGAGTAAAATAATTACCATCTTTTTGAGTTTTCACTATTTTGTTCTCTGTTCTGTGTTCTGTTCTACGAATCAGGTAAATCAGCGTTTGTTTTCCATATTTTTGTAGAGGTTTCCATTGTGCAACTTTGAAAACATCAGGTTTCCAGCCTAAAATAAGATAGGATTAGAATGGGAAAATGTAAACAAATATTAGTAGGGTTAGGAAATTGTTTAAATCAGACAATACACTAAAGTCAAATGTGGCACCAAAATTTGAATATTGAGTATTGCATGCGCAATATGCATTAATTCAAACTGTCCAAAAATAAACGAAAAATCCCCTAGAACTCGATTCGTGTAACCAGAAATTTTACTGATGAAGGAATTTTTCTTTTTCTAGAATCACGCAGAAGAGAAGCACGTTTATAGCTTTCCTCTGAGGCATTTTGCCAATTTAAGTGAATATTTGGAAAGTAAATTGAGTCTTAAACGGTGGCTATTATTTTTAAATAGCACCACAGCAAGTATTTGCTAATTTATGAAGATTTCAGTACGTAAAAACCCAAATTCTACAAAATAAGTTTGATTCGTGTCACGTGTTGAGTATCGAAAAGGCCAATCCACATTGGTAAGTCCCTATTATTCATCATTTTATTTTGTATTCTGATCCCCGTTAGGGAGGCCGCACATCAAAGAAACATGAAACGTAAAACATGAAACATAAAACGTGAAACACGTTTCATGAAAATAGAATAAGAACAAACAAATACAAGTCTGCACACCAATGAAACAAATTTGTTTCATGCGCGAGAAACATTTTTATTACATGAAACGTGTTTCATGAAATAGATCGCGTTCTATTTTTTTGTTTCAGTTTCACTGTTTCTCTTTATAGGTAATAATTTTGTGAATGTTTGTATATCTACTCTTTCTATAAAACGATTGAAATTTGGCAGGATAATTGTTTAATTCCTTTGCAACTAGAGGTGGGCCAACCTGCGATTTTAATGGAGCTGTGACAAGACGTGACTGCTCCAGTCGAGTCACTGTGACAAATAGCAGTGATTTTTTGGAGCAGTTTTACCTTAGTTGGCGGCCGTACTGCTAATATTATGTTAATGCTACATCGCAACATGGCATAATCACAGTCCGCAGTTACGGCCGAGAGAGATGTTCTAGTTTTCAGCCTGCCCTCTGCAGTAGCAGTTTCTATTTGGCTTGACCGCGATGCGATTTATAATATTATATTATTAAATTTGCATCACAGCTCGAGTTTTGACCGCGCTGCATCGGTCGGAGCTTGAAGCGGGCAGTGACAAAATGTCACTGCTACTTGACTGGGACTGGAGCAGGCTGTGACTGTGACAGACAAGTAGCAGTGACAAAGTCACAGTTCGTGAAATCGCAACCCACCTCTATTTGCAACCAAATATATGCTATGTTTATGATTTATATTATTGTATGGATGTACCCAGTAACGTCGTTCCCTTTTTTTTTGCTTTTTGATGATAATAAAAGAGACGCCACAACAGCAACAACAACCTCGTCCTCACTTTCCAGTGTGTACTACACTCTACTTCACACTTCACTACCCTGAAACGACTTTGCAAATATAATAATTATATTTGCAACAAGAAACAAGAATTATTTTTGTTTCTTCAATTAGTATGCACGAAAGAAACGGTTTCGCTTTTCGTAATTTATTGTTTCATGTTTTACGTTTCATGTTTGATGTTTCACGTTTCATGTTTCTTTGATGTGCGGCCTGCCTAGTTTTATGCCCTCAAAAACGTAATTCATTGCCGTACTTACCTCAATTCTTGTTGAAATCGAGTTTTTATAGTGTGAACTCTCTCTTTTAGGCCTTTTCTTATATTGGGTAACGTTACATCCCTTTCTGCTGTTGCTGTCGTTAGATGCACAAAGGCACCGATTGCTGAATTGCTGATGCTCAATCCTGAACCTGATAGATTGCTTGTGGAGCTTTTGGGACTTGTGAATCTCAATCGTCCTCCACGAGGTTCTTAGTAGTATCATTCCAACAAGTAACTACATAATCAGGTTTGCGTATTGTTGTGCCGTTTTGGGAACCATCCACCCCGTCTGTATTAAGGGTTTCACCATCTCCTTGGGAGCTGGAGCCTTTTACCTGCAACCACTTGTACCTACTCTTCAATATTATAGCCAGCTGAAGTACCTCTACCTGTCTTAAAAATTACCTTATAATCTTTTAGGTTTAAGTTAAATTAATTTTACGTTTACTTACCATATTATTTTGATTTCCTGGAACATTCCAAGTAGTCCAAATTAGTCTAAACACATACGTATAACGCTCACAATCCGCAATTAGTGGATCTGTACACCAGGTTAAAATGGATCCATTTACGACGGTATTTTTAGTATTTTGGTATTGATTTAAGGTGCGTGAACCGTACTTAATTATCAGCCTTTATTTATTTGAACTTAATGAATGTATTTAGGAAATTAATTATAACTTTTGATCAGTTGATCATCAAAATGAACCAGAATGTAAGGTAAGGTTTGGACACTTCAAATACCACCCTTTTGGTTGGAATATTGTAGATTACACATTTAATTCACCTAACTACTGTAACTAAACAATTCAATTTTGGTGCTTATCAGCTGTTTGCTGCCATTTACAATAAACATTATAAATAACTATTTTGGGCAAATAAAAATCATGCACCGGAGTGAATTTTTAAGCGCTTTCATTTCATTTTATTTTATGCATATTTAGGTTTTTGCAGTACTTCCAATTAGGATTGAGTGTTTCCTGTTTTTAGTTTATAATCGGTAGCTTCGTTTGACTGCAGGGTAGTAAAACAGGTGGCGCCTTTTTGATGTTTACCCACTCCACTCTCCGCTGTGTGAGTTAGTCGGACACCCTAAAAACGAAGCTCCATTTGCTCGATTTTGGTTATTGCAGTACCTCAGCAACCTTTTTGTGTATTAATTTATTGTTAGGTTTGCCCCCAGTTTGTACATAATACAGAGTGGCCTAAGTAGTACCGTAGAAGAGACATCATGGTATTATACCTAGGGTAATATTATTCTATATATTCAATATATATCTTATTGTACCTATACCAACCGAGTTTCTCTATACCTCAATCCCAGCACGCCCCACCTAGGTCACGCTTCTGTTGTGACGTCCTAGGACGAAACGTATAGGGATTATGACGTGACATATTTGAGGCGCCGTTTCGACACCTAGGAACCAGGACCCAGAAACAGCGGTACAAAAGAAATAACGCAGAATCTTGACGTCACCATATTGGAGAAAAACCCAAGACATAAAAGAAAATATATATAATAATAAACAAATTTTAGTGACTCAGATAATTAGAAACAGACACGGTTACGCTGACGATGAAAACCAGTCCAAGTTATTTTTGCATTGGTTCTTAATTTCAATATTTTCGTTCATAATAATTTTCAATTGCAATATCTTTACTTCATTTTGAGACACCGTATAATCTTTAGTAATACCCAGCGCCGGTTCAAGGCTCTACCGGGCCCTAGGC